CCACCCCATGAGGGCAGGGGCCACAGTGCTCACTCCCCCCAACCCAAGGGATGGGGTAACCTCCTGGGTGGGCACCTCAAGACTGCTGGGCGGGACAGCAAAGCCCGAGAGGAGACCGCAGTTAGAAGCCGGTATCAGTGGGGTGGACCTTCCCTGAGTCTCGGGCTCCCCTGAAAGCTCGGTCGGTAAAGGATCCACCTGCAATGCAGGAGACCCCTGGTTCGATTCCTGGGTCAGGAAGATCCGCTGGAGAAGGGATAGCTACCCACTCCAGTATTCTTGGGCTTCCCTTGTGGCTCAGCTGGTAAAGAATCCACCTGCAATGCAGGAGACCTGGGTTCGATCCCTGGGTTGGGAAGATCCCCCCGAGAAGGGAAAGGCTACCCACTCCAGGATTCTGGCCTGGAGAATTCCATGGACTGTATAGTCCATGGGGTCGCAAAGAGTCAGACGCGACTGAGTGACTTTCCTTCACTTCCCTGAGCCTCTTACGTAAGAGCATCTTGATGAGGGTGGGAGGTTGGCTGGGCTGCTCTCCGGCAGCCAAGTTTATAATCATATCATGTCACATGGTCCCTGGCCAAGGCAGATCACAGGAGGGGGCTACCTGACCCCAGCCCAGCCAAAGAAACAGCTCTCTGGTAGGAATCTGGAAGGAAGTTGCCATATTGGGAGTCTTCACATTGTTAGAACATAAAAGTGTAACGTGAGAATCACCTGGGTTGTGGGGATGACTGTAGGCCATCTAGCCCAGGCTCAGAGAAAAGCCGTAGAGGGGAGCGAGAGGAGACAGACAGACAGAGAGACTCCATGCTCAAGAAGTTTCTGGTTTAGTCCCACCCTGAGCCTTTCCTTCCTGGTCTGGCTTCTGAAGATGGCCTTCTAGCCATAGGCTACCTCCCCAACCCAACTCACTTCTGGCTTAAATCAGCTCAAATTGGTTTCTTCGCTCATATCCAAAGGAGTAAGACAGATCCACTTAGAAATTAATTCCTGACATCCTTCATTTCTGTATGAACTTCCACATCAGTGGGAATATTTTTTTAAAAAACAAAATGCCCCCATTCCACGCCCCATTTGGTGATCTAAAAAAAAAAAAATACACACATTGCAAATCACTTTCTAATGATCCAATTTCACAGTGATGACCCATCTGTCGGGGGGAGAAATGATTTAAAAATGTCAACCACTTAGAAGGTGATTAGAAGTGATGAGAAGTTGCCTGAGAAGGCATTTGTTTGGATGGGGGAGCGGGGAGGAGGGGTTGGGGACCCTGAGTTGCTCAGAGTGAGAATCACCCCCTCCCCTTTAGAATAACTCCTGGGGAACCAGAGGGAAGACAAGGGGGGAACTGTCCAAGGTCCCACATCCGAAACCAAGACACAAAGCCCCCTCTCTGACCTCGGCCTCCTTCCTCCAATGAACTCACTCAGACGCCTCCCCCGCCATCCTCTGACCTCATCCGAACCAGTGAGCCTGGAGGAGCCCAGTCCCCCGGCCAGCCCTCACACATCTAGCTGGATGCACCCACCAACCAGGCAGACCAGCGTCCCCAAGAACTTCGACCACTAACCCCACGGGCCCTCGGCACACCAAGCTAGCACCACCACCGTCCTTTCTGAAGTCAGCCTGCCCTCCGGCCCCCACGGCCCTCACTTCAGACTTGCACCTCCTCTATCCCCTCTCCCCTTCCCCCCGCCTCATCCTCACAGCGGACCACCTCGGCTCACACTTCTTTTGAGAAGACGAGAGCCGTGCGGTTGGAACTCCAAGCCGTCCCTCCATCCATCCCCAGAGCCTCTGCTCCCACCCCATGGTGACAAAGGACACATACTTCTTGCCCTCATCACCTTCTCTGGACCCCAATCTTTCCAAATAGGCCAGGTGCCTCCAGCATCTCAAATTATCTTCCTACTTTCCCAAACCTCTCCAATCCGCCCAACTTTTACCATGCCTTCTGGCCCGTTTCCAGTCTAACTGGTCTGTGCCCAGCCCACCCTCTACCATTCAGCTGGAGCTGTCCTTTAAGAGTCTAAACATCATCACTGAATGAGTCTCCCACTGGCACCTCCTCCCAGGCCCCAGAGGACCTGATCCTGGCCCCCTCGTGTACCACCTCACCCACTGCGTCCCCACCCACTCACCCCTCCTCTCCCACTCAGCCTCCGCCAGCTCACACCTGCCCACCCCTCAGAGCACAGGGGCAAATTCACCCCCAAGGAAGGTTCTCTTTGGAAGATTTCTCAACTCTCCCCCCAAATTAAAACGGCCCCTCTACCATTATCCTTCTGCACAGCATCCTGGCCTTTAAAAAAAAATTATCTGGCTGCACTGGGTCTTAGTTGCGGCATGTGGGTTCTCCCTGACCAGGGATCTAACCTCAGCCCACCCCCCACTGGGAGCTGAGTCTTAGCCACCTGACCACCAGGGAAGTCCCATCCTGCCCTATGCCTCAGCCTGGGCACTGCCCTTGCCTCGCCCGGGAAGGCATACCAGGAAATCCACCTTATTTGCCCATCATTCATCACAGTGGGTAAAGACAGGTTTCTCTGGTTATTTGTTTAATGCTCATCTCTCTTCTCCCAGGACTTCCCTCATGGCTCAGATGGTAAAGAATCTGCCTGCTACGTGGGAGACCTGGGTTTGATCCTTTCCCCTGGAGGAGGGCATGGCAACCCACTTCTTGCCTGGAGAATCCCATGGTCAGAAGAGCCTGGCGCGCTACAGTCCATGGGGTCGCAAAGAGTCCGACACGACTGAGCTGTTAGGCACATTTCTCTTCCTCCACTGATAGTGTCTTTTCTTTTTTAACACACCCACAACGTGCTGAACGAATGAATGAAGGAGAGGAAGCTTGGGCTGGGACGTGTGACTCCTCAGGTCCTGAAAGCCCACCCTGTCTTAGCTAAAAGGAGCCTCAGCCTGGGCACTGCCCTTGCCTCGCCCGGGAAGGTATACCAGGAAATCCACCTTATTTGCAGGTTAACATCCTGCCCTCCCTTCCACGCTCAGCTAAAGAGACCTGCAGTTACTAGAACTTCAGACTGTTCTGTGTGGCTTCTTGGGGTTTCCCAGGTGGTGCTAGTGGTAAAGAACTCACCTGCTAATGCAGGAGACATAAGAGACACAGGTTCCATCCCTGAGTGGGGAAGATCCCCTGGAGGAGGGCATGGCAACCCACTCCAGTGTTCTTGCCTGGAGAATCCCATGAACAGAGGAGCCTGGCAGGGCTGCAGCCCATGGGGTAGCACAGAGTTGGAAGTGATTTAGAATGCACATGTGACTTCTTGAGTTTCTTGAGGAAACTCAACCAGAATAGGTTCCAGGCTACCCAGAGCTGCTTCACATGGGAACCAGTAAAGACTGGAGGGCAAATAAAACCATGCCTCCTGGAACGTGAATGTGGGCGCTATTATTTTGGGAATATATTTCTACAGCTACTTCACTGTACCTATTCCAGCTTTGATATTGCAGAGGACATATTTAGCTCAGGACATAAAAGGCTGGGGTTGCAACAAAATATTATTGAGCTGTAAAAAGGAATGATGTACTGGCACATACTCCAACATAAATGCACCCTGAAAACATACTAGGTAAAGAAGCAAGTCACAGAGAATCACACATTGTCCAATTCCATTCATACGAAATGTCCAGAAGAGATAAATTCATAAGACGGAAAGTGGTAGTTGCTTGGGGTGGGACTGGGGGGCGAGGGGTAGATTGGGAGGTGACTGCTAAAGGGTCCAGGGTTTCTTTGGGAGTTGATGAGACTCTTCTTAAATTTTTAAAAAAGTTCATTTATTTTACTGACTGTGCATATGTGATCTTAGTTCCCTGACCAGGGATCGAACTTCTACCCCTTCAGTAGAAGCTTGGAATCTTAACCACTGGACTGCTAGGGAATTCCCAAGAATGTTCTTAAGTTAATTGCAATGGGAGTTGCACAATTCTGTGACTCTATTGAGACCACTGATTTGTATGATTAAGGGGTGAACTGTATAGTTTGTGATTTATAGCTCAATAAAGCTGTTAAAAAAAAGAAGAAGAAGAAAAGACTAGGGGTATCTGGCAGGGGGAACGAGGTTTCCATGAGCACAAGTATTGGGTTCTTCAGTTATGACGTTCTTTGCTTTTCCTTTGCTTCTATACTTATTTGGGAAAAAAAAAAAAAAACCCAAACCAGTCCATGTGTCAGGATTACAAACCAGAAATCCATGGTACCCTCAGAGGGTAATTAACACTTGATTTTTAAAAGTAGCTTTATAAAATTGGAATCAAATGAACCAAGAATTTCATTTTATGATTTGAAGACACTAGGAAAACAAAGTAAGGCTGTCATGTAACATATTTAAAGGCTGTAGGTAAGCATTTGATCTGTTGGCTTAACCCTAGGATACATTGATAAAATGCCTGTTGGCAGTCCAGAGAATTAGTCATTTTAGAGCCCAAACACAAGACTGGAAGATTAACTAGGAGTCAAGCAATACTCCGTAAACTTACATGACATATCCATAAATTCTAGAGCCTCCTGAAAACTCAGATTAAAATCGTTCTTCTCAGTGATATCCAGTTTATCCCATTTCCTTATTCTTCTCCTTCCCTCCCCTCTTGCTGCCCATCTGATAACTAAAAGCACTTCTCTTTCTTTCTTTTTTTTGTTTTTTTTTTTGGCCACGTGGCATGCAGGATCTTAGTTTCCCTACTAGGGATCGAGCCCATGTCCCTTGCAGTGGAAGGGCAGAGTCCTAACCACTGAACTGCAGGGAAGTCCAGCTAAAAGCACTTTTGACCCAAGAAAATTCTATCGCTTATCTGACACGAACGTTATAAGCAAGGATGAAGGACAGGAGGAAGGCTCATGAGTATGAGGGAAGACAACCCAGTGTCAGGGTGTGTTGGGCAGATGCCACGACTTGTTGCTCCAAACCTCCTTCTGTTCACACAACCACTGCCTCCCCAGGAGGTAGGTCCCAAACGGCTGGCGGAGGGTGTATCCTTACCACACGCGTAGAAGACCGAGAGGTATTTTTTCACTCCTGGCAGACAGGGGCTTCCGAAGTGGTGGTTGTTGACGAGGATTTTGCATCTCTGCTTCCCATAACATCTCCTGGATAACACGTGCAGAGCCGAGTAAGACAGACAGTCTGAGAGGCAGGAGACATCAAAAACCTTTAGGTTAGAATCCATGTATGGCTTCGGTTATTTTCTGAGCTGGACTTCACAGTTCATGGAGATCAGCTGTGATTACTTGATTATTTTCCGTCTCATTAAAAAACCCACAGTGGGCTGAGCACTATACAGGCAGTGCTGGAAGGGCTTGCTTTAATCAGCTTACTCTAATACCCTGCTGTCATCGTCTGAAAATCTATCTCTATATTATATTGTGTTATATAATATGAGAGACTTACTAAAATTTTCTTTTCTCTTTTAGTTTTTATTGGAACATAATTGCCTTACATACTGTGCTAGTTTCTGCTGTACAACGTGAACCAACTACACATACACACCCGTCCCCTCCCCCGAGCTTCCCTCTCGCCACCCGGCATCCCAGCCCCCTGGGTCAGCGCCGAGCTCCAGACTGCGCTCGCTGTGCCGCATGGCAGCCGCCCACTACTGATTTTACACAGAGCGGTGTGCGTCTGGCAGCACACCTCTTCCGATCCATCGTCCCTCTTGCTTCCCCCCGCTGTGTCCACACTTCAGTTCTCTGCATCCGTGTCTCTATTTCTGCCCTGCAAATAGGTTCATCTGTACCATTTTTCTAGACTCTGTGTATACGCGTTAACGTGCAATATCTGTTTTTCTCTTTTTGACTTTACTCTGTGTGACAGACTCTAGGTGGTCCCACGTCTCTACAAACAAGCGAATCAGAAATCCTTATGCATTTTTTAACAAGGGGCCCTAGATTTGCATTTTACACTGCCTCTGCCCAGTCATGTAACTGGTCTTGCATACACAACAGGCAAAACATGTAGAACACTGAATAAGGATTCTTTCTTTTATTCTTTTAGTTTAGTTATCGGTTACTGCTCTTTGAAACAGTTTAGTTATTGGTTGATTTTGAGAATCCTTCTCTTCTTTGTGAACATAAGCACTATGAGGACAGAGGCTATTTCTATTTTGTTCATCATCTAATTTTTCCCACCTGACCCGCTGTGCAAATCCAATAGCTGATGAATGAATGAATGAAAAACGGACAGGTGGATGAATAAACATGTGAATCACTTTTTCAGGACCCTGGCACAAGGCCTTCACAGTTACTAAACATTAACTGAACACGTTTGAAGAGTGAGGCACTGTGCTACATGCAGTCAGAAAAAAACAGCCAAGAGAAGCCCGCCTTGCGTCCACAGGATGTGTGATGGGGCTAAAAGACAAAGCCCACACAGGCGACCTGATGTCTAACAACATGAGACAGAGTGAGTACCAGCAGTGACTGGTTCAGACAGGACGTGATGGGGTCGGAGGAGGGGGAGATTGCTGGGGACCAGAGTGGTCAAGACAGGCTTTACAGAGGAGGGGGCTTGGTCCTTGCAGAAGGATCATGAACTGGGTACCGGCAGGCCAAGAGAGAAAGGTATAAACACCAAAGTCAGTGAGCCAGAAGCACTTAGCGGGTGTCTAGGGGCTGAGCCTGAGCAGGTGCGGGCAGGGAAGCTGCGGTACGTGACCAGGAAAAGTAAAGGAGAGCAAGATCCAACTTCTTCTGAACGCTGAGCTAGAGACTTTGAACTTTATTCTGCAAGTACCAGGGAGCCTAAGAAACGCCCTGATGCGTGGGTCCTTTGGGGACATGGTTATTGGTTGCCCTGGGAGAGTCAAGGAACCAAAGGCAGGGAGACTGGTTTGGAAGCAATTTTAATCATACATGTTGGGAGGAGTTAAGGGCTTGAAGAGCAGGGAACAGAGAAGGAGAGAATTCTAGAGACCTTGCAAAGTTCAGCTCACTTACAACAAACATTCTGCCGAGGCTGTGTTCCCAGCACTTGTATGTCTCATGAGATAGGTTGTTTATTACACATCTTATATTTCATAGAAAATATACAGAGAATATGATATATTATTAGTATCATAAGTTGTTTATATAACAGTATGCAGCTAGATAAAGGTGGGGAACCTCACATCTCAGGGAAGTTCCATCTCTCTCTCTTATATTAATACTTTAGAGATCTGTAAGAATCTAGTTGAAACCAAGAATCTGTGGGAAACACCAGAAAGGTGGGAAGACAACGATCTTAAGGAAATGACAATTAAATAAATACATACACATATATAAAACATATGACTTAGATATATTTATTTATATGTGTATATTTTATATTCCCACATATAATAATATATGGAGCATGCTTATATGGACCATATAAACATATATGTATAAATGTGTGTGTATATATACAGATGTGCATATGTATGGCTATATATTACATATTTTTGTTATATATCTTGTTTGGTTTAGTTGCTAAGTCATGTCTAACTCTTTTATTACCCCATGGACTGTAGTCCACCAGGCTCCTCTGTCCGTTGGATTTTCCAGGCAAGAACACTGGAGTGGGTTGCCATTTCCTTCTCCATGTTATATATCTGAAAGTATGTAATATGTATATCTCAACACATAATGAGGAACATTATTATGAAGGCACTTGATCTGAATATCTTCATAACAGTTTGGTTTTATTTGCAAGGTCCAATCCCACGATGCCTGATCACTGGAGTGCAGGGCACACAGTAAGCACCCAACAATGATGTATTAAATGAATGGACTGGTGGACTGGCATGGACACCAGGAAATGCCAACATCCCATACATCTGGCTTTGGAATGTGTTCTGGGAGGGTGACCCCTGAGTTCGAATCTATGCTGAGAAAAGCTGCCTGGAGGGGCCGCTGGAAGCTGTCATCCTCTTGTTGGCCCCTGGATCAGTTCTACTTGGCAACTTGCATCTGTTTTCTGACTGCTTCTGAATACTTCTGTCTAAAGGATGCATCTTGCTGAACCGAATTTGGTGGGTTTCATGAATGACAGAAAAGTAAACAGAGGAAGTCAGGCAGCCAGTGAGGATGGAGTGAAATGTTTTGAAGTGCCAGAGCATCAAGCATGTCTCTATGAAGAATAAAGACTAACAGCCTGAAGAGTGTTCTGGCAGCCCACCCAGGGCTCAAATCGGACCACGTAAAGTGGGCTTGATAAAGAGACTTTACAAAGGCGTGAATGGGATATGAACACCTCAAAGGACAGTGCAGGGCCCTGAGGTGAGGAACAGCAGAGAGAGGCTACCAGCCCCAAGCCTGAGGGGCCAAGGCAGTGGTTTCCAGAACACAGAGTGGGCTGCCCCATCGGGCGGGCTGCTGCATGGAGCTGGGGTCTGCAGTGGGCACTTGTGATGCTCACAGTGAGTCATGCTGTGTTCCGTCAGCCGCTTTTGTGCCTGGATCTCTCATTGGATGGGGAGCTCCCGGAGGGCACTGGGGTTTCTCTGCTGTTTGCCCACCACCTACTATCTGTTCAACTCACTGAGACTCTGTACTCCTCCCCCATAGCTTGAGGAACATCACTTTTACCGTCTTTCCGTGAGACCTGCGCTAAGCAACTTCAGGAGTCAAAGCCCGCATAAATGTGAACTGTTCTCACCAGGTGTTGCTGAGGGTGAATGAGCTCCCTCGCTGAGCCTGCGTCTTCACTAGATGGCGACGATACGGACAGCCGTGCTCGTTTACTGGCCGGCATGACCACTGAACGATGTTACATTTGGAGGGTTCAATAGCAGAACCCAGTGTTTGTCAGTTACCATTACTGACACCAGGCCACCACCTTAGATGGGAACGTGGTACTTCCACAAAAGGCCTTTGGGACTTAGATAATTTATAGTCTAAACTAAATGCCTTCTTTGGTTCTTTCAAGTGAAAACAGGCATATGGAATGATGAAACCTATATACTACAGCTTAATCTGCAAATAAACACACACACACACAAATACTGGAAGGAGAATTACTAAGATTCTCAGGGCGCTATTTTTGGCTGATGAGAAAGAATTTTTTCCCCCCTATTGATTTTAAGATACTTTCCAAGTTTTTGTGAGTTTACACTGCTTTGAAATGAAAGCATACAAAATGAACTTTCTTAAAAAGAAAAACAAAATTTGTATCTGGATAGAAGACAGCTTTTCAATATGAGTGTCTCTGGGGTAATTTTTTTCAGAAATGTAAATTTTTCTGCAAATGTAATGATAAATGATCCTTTTGTATACCTCAATTTGCCCCAGAAGCTGCGGGAAGTTTATCTAGGAGTAAAGATATATCCTTTGAATTTTCTTCCAGTTTATTTAAAATTTTTTATTGAATTAGGATTAATTTACAATGTTGTGTTAGTTTCAAGTGTATAGCAAAGTGCTTCAGTTATAATATATATTCTTTTTCAGATTCTTTGCCATTATAGGTTATTATAAGATATTGAATATAGTTTCCTGTGCTATACAGTAGGTCCTTGTTGTTTACCTGCTTTATATATAGTAGTGTGTATCTGTTAATCCCAAACCCCTAATTTATCTCTCCTCAGTCCCCTGTAGTTCATTTTTATTACTATTTTTCATTGCTTTGTGGGTGCACAGGATTGATTGTGAATATTTTTGCTGTCTTCAGGAGCCTTATTATTATTTGGACATTTAGCAATTGGAAATTTATCTATTATTAGCACATCTATCAATTGGAAAAAACCCTTACATCTCAAGATTGAAAATGAGTTGTATGATTTCTGGACAAGCCACCTATATTGAAAATAACTAACAAAAGAATTATGAAGTTATTCTTGGAAGTCCAACACCTATTATTGTTTTTTCTGTAAGCTACTATTTTTTTCTGTTTCAAATACATGTTTATAGCTGAAAACTTGAAAACCACAAATACTCCTAAACCAGGAAAATAAAAATCCTCAGTAAATTCCACTAATCAAGAAAAACAATGGTTAACTTTTAAAGAGCATCTTTCTAGTCACTTTTCTATATTAAATGTCTTTCCCCCTCAATGGATCATATACGTACGACTCTGTATGCTACTTTTCCTCATTTATTAGCATATTTATGAAAATTTTTAACATAAGCATCATTTTAAAGAGTTGTATAGTTTCTCACTTTATAAATGTACCAGCT